GGGGCAGTTCCTTCTTCACTTTCAAAGAAATTCAATTCAAGTTCTTTCGTGGGTAATCTCCAGTTATGTGGATACAGCATTTCCACACAATGCCCTTCTTCCACCATTTCACCTTCTCCATCTTCTCCACTTGTTCTTCCTTCAAACAAAAACAAAAAAGGCCGAAAACTTAGCACAAAAGATATCATCCTCATAGCAGCAGGAGCCCTTTTGCTTGTTTTGCTTCTCTTATGCTGCTCACTTCTCTGTTGCCTAATCCGAAAGAAAGCAGCAAGATCCAAATCCAAGAAGGGCAAAACCGACATTTCAATGCCAGTAACAGTTCCATCCGGGGGTGAAGTAGTTGAAACAGGTGAAACCGGGGGCAAACTGGTCCATTTTTCAGGCGCTTTTGTGTTCACTGCTGATGATTTGTTATGTGCAACTGCTGAAATAATGGGAAAGAGTACATATGGAACATCTTATAAGGCCACATTAGAAGATGGTAATATGGTTGCTGTTAAAAGATTAAGAGAAAAAGTCACCAAAGCACAGAAAGAATTTGAGAGTGAAGTTTCTGAGCTTGGAAAGATTCGACATGCAAATGTATTGGCCCTTAGAGCATATTATATGGGACCTAAAGGAGAGAAGCTTCTTGTGTTTGATTACATGCCACGTGGCAGTCTTGCTTCCTTCCTCCATGGTATGTTGCTTATTGACATAACCTTTAATCCAAATTGTGATATAATCATGAATATCTTCTAATCGATGTTTATATTTGAATCTATTGTTACAGCTCGTGGGCCTGAAAGTGTGATAAACTGGTCAACAAGATTGAACATAATCGTGGGTATAACAAAAGGCCTTGTGTTCCTCCATAGCCAAGAGAACATAATCCATGGAAACCTAACTTCAAGCAACGTGTTACTCGATGAACAGACAAACCCCGCAATTGCAGATGTGGGTTTATCGAGATTGATGACAAACGCAGCCAACACAAACGTGATTGCAACCGCCGGAACCCTAGGTTACAGAGCGCCGGAGCTTTCAAAGCTGAAGAAATCAAACACGAAAACCGATGTGTACAGTTTGGGTGTGATTATGTTGGAGATGTTGACCGGAAAATCTCCCAGCGAAGCAACAGATGGACTGGATTTGCCTCAGTGGGTGGCGTCGATTGTGAAGGAAGAGTGGACGAATGAAGTTTTTGATTTGGAACTTATGGGGGATCCGGCGAATGTTGGAGGTGATGAGTTGTTAAGTACTTTGAAATTGGCTATGCACTGTGTGGATCCTTCGCCGGAGGAAAGGCCGGAAGCAAAACAAGTTCTCGAAAAGCTTGAGGAAATTAAACCGGAGGTTGGTCAGACTTCTGATGATGCTGCTGTGGAGGTCGCCGGAGTTGCATCAAAAAGTGAATGAAGGATAGAGACGGTGGACATTGGACAAGAAGCATTATTCTTTTGTAAGATATATACGTATATGATTGATTGATTGTTTAAGTTATAAAGTGTGTAGATACATTGAATTCGTTGATTCTTTTCGTAACAATAAACATCATTCAGTTTGAATGTTTTTTCAACATATCCCCTTAATTACTTTATTCATTACACTAAATTCTTTTCTCTTACATCAATTATGTAAACCGCTAGTTTCATATGAATCTACCAGCTAAGCATAACAATGTGAATCTACCAGATAAGCATAAGAGAATCTAAAGTTCCTTAACCGTTCAGAAGCTTTTGATTCGTTCATAGATCATTCAAAGGCTCTATGTATCAGACACGTTGAATGCTAACTGATTCAGAAAAAAGATCTATATATGTGTGTTGGGAACCGATCAAGTGGAATGCACAATATGGAAAATCTATGATGCTTAGGATGGATAGCGTCGAAAACAATCTATTTAGTAGAAGATTTGTTTCGGATGCTATCCCTCCTGAGCTTCATGGACTTCTTCCACACACAAAGATGATAAATTGATATGAAAACAAAGATGATATGAGGTGAGACTGATGATAAAGAAACAAAGTTATGTATTTATAGATGCCAATGGGAGGAACCTAATGAACATGTTATGTATTCCACTCTTTGACCCTATGCCATCATACAAAATTATTTCCTTCTCAGTTTCATGCTTTGTGTATACCCACATAATTTATACAAGGTAATATAATACAAATTGTTCGAGTAGTTATATGTGAGTTCAAGATACAATAAATAATCAAATTTACGTGTTTTAGCATGGTTAATTTGTGTAAAACATTTTCATTATCAATACAATAAATAATAAATTTTAGATGTTACAACCAATCAACATAACTTTTGATTATTTAATAATGGTTTTAAATAGGAGTCGTATATCTTATATTCTTATACATAAAGTTAGTATCTTGGTTTATATTTATATTCTTATAAATAAAGTTAGTATCTTGGTTATATTTTGGAGTAAGATATTGTGTGATGGATAATGAGGGTCAATCATGTTGTCATGGTAGACAACGCTGTAGGAGAAGTTTGGTGAGAGCAATTGTTAAGCATGTTTCTGACAATTGGGTATTATTATTAGATTTTGTGAGATTTTGTTAATAAATGTTATATACGGAAAAAAATTGTGTATACCAACTTTGTGTGAGATAGATAACATGTAAAAAGGAATTAATATTTCGTAAATGGTGTGTTCGGTAAAACTAGCCGGTAGCGGGTATCTGGTAGCATTTTGCTAAACACTACGTGAGGTAGCTTTTAGATTTGGAGTGTTTTGTTTAACCTAAACGCTAGAAGCTTGTATTGTCAAAGAAAGTTTTTTGTTCAAAACGGAACATTTTGTCAAATGCTAGAAGTTAGAAGCTCCCAAACGCTCTCAACCGCTTCATGCAGAACACGCCCAAAGTGTGCAAAGTGATAGACCATACGTCATATCTATATGGATGCAAACTTTGTGATGCAAGTCAGTTTGATGATTCTATCTTAAAAAATGAACCGGTTAATGATCCGTTTCAAAATCGATTTTTATGAACCTTTAGTTAGTAAAATAATAGGAAATTAGGATATTTTTTCCCGTCGTTCGTTGTAACGGCGCAAATCCGTTTTATAAGTTGAATTTTGATGATTGTATTGATAAAAGTTCGATATTGTTGCATTTGTTAGTTGACAAATATACACAGTCAATACTATTGGCTCCAGTATATACCGTCGAATGAAAACGTATTATATGTGACAAATTCATACATATGAAACATACATAAAAATAAGCACGATAACGTAAAGTAACTAGAAGTTATACCGATACGTACATAAAAATAAGTAAGTGAGTTTTTTCTAATTAATAAACGGAAATCCAAATAATCAAAAACGCATTATATATGACACGACCCATACATAGGAAACATACATAAAAATAAGCACGAAATGGATCTCAGTCTAATAAGCGTCCGGGAATCCGCTCTGCATAAGATGAACAAGTGCTAGGTCAGAAAACCATATTGAGGGTTAGACCCCGATATAGCTCTCTGATGCCTAAGTTGGATTGCAAATCTTAGTGTTGCCTTAATGATATATATATATATATATACGGTATTTTTTTACCTTACCTTGTTCCTTCATGGATATCATATCTTTGGGGTATTTATAGGCCACTCGTTGTTAGAAAGGTTTATAGTTTTGTCTGGTCCTTCATCTATTATCTGGTCTGTAGACAACCACGTCTCTTGTCCCTTTCTTGTTATTTTATTGTTACGTACCATCTATTTTGCATGTTTTTTGGGATATGGTTCCGAGACTTGTGTACGGTTTATTCAAATTTAGATTCGTTCGTGACAGGTTGTGGTGTTTTCATTGTCTAATTGGTAAGTACCGGGTCGGTAATGGATTCTCTCGGACTACCGCTTTGGTACACCATTAAACACCCTAGTCTAAAGAGTGAAAGAATATTGCCAAAATATGTTTTCTGTTCAGACTTGAAGATCTGCCTTGGGTACCGAAACGTCCGTCGCATGGGGCACATTAAATGATTGCGCCGTCGGAAGTCATTTCTCTTGCTTTGATTAGATTTCCCGTAATAAATGTTTTAACCGGTCTCTCTTGTTATTTAGCGGATAAGCCTGGTTTGTTTAGAAGCTTCTTTATCTTTTATCCTCCTTTTGACTCTCACATTATGACTGTCATGGGTGATGACATGTCGATAGTTGTGTCCGAAGTGGACAGTTATATGCTTGATTAATACACGCAGGTATATCACTTGTCTCCCATACTTGGTTTCCAAATTCAATCTTCGTCGTCATCTGTTCTTGATGCCCCGCTTGGTAAGGTTGGGTTTTATCTTAGGCATCTTGTTTGCGGTTTAAGGTTACCTCCGTCTTCCTTCTTTTTGGAAGTTCTTTGTTTTTATAAAGTTCATCTCATACAACTGTGCCCTAACGAAGTATCGAAGGTGCTTACTTTTGAAGTTTTTGGTGTTGCTCACGAAATACCACTCGATGTTACTTTGTTTCGCTACTTTTATCAACTGAAGAGATATGGTGATTGGTATTCTTTTAGTAGTCGTCATTTCCCTCTCTCTCCCGATTTATCTCGCTCCAATGGTAACTGGAAGAGTAGGTTTTGTTGGGTAGATGTGCACAACTTATGTCTTCCTTTCACTCCCTGTTATGTCCGGCTTGGAGATGATTTAGTATCTTTGTTTGATGATTTGCTTTCATTCGTACCCTTGTTTTCCCATTTCTGCGTAAAAAGTTTGTTCTTATCGGAAGTTGTACTCACTTTGTGTCGTATAATCCCCTTTTGGAAAGCTCGATGTCAACTTCCAGTGTTATCTGTGTGTCGTGTAGGTTTGTCTAACTATTGTATCTTTTTACTGGATTTGGTATAATTTCTTCTTTCCTTTGTCTTATGTAATCTCCTAATATAAATGCCGCCTTCGGACGTTTTCTCTTTGCTCATTTATTGTTGTATATGGAAGTAAATGATCCTTTCAGTTGACGTCATATCTGGCTGGTGACATTTCTCCTGAATCTATTGTGATGTATGATGTAATTCCGGACCGAGATGTGGACCCAGTGATTGTGGTTCTTGAATCTCCTATTAGACTTATGGGGTTTGGACCGGATGCTTTTTCTGTTGATCAACTTATGGAGACTTCTTGTCCTTTGATTGGTCCTTTGCACGATGGTTTCTCCAACTCATTGGAAGGTGTGTCCACAAATGTTTTCTCTCCTAGTCGGAAGTGTAAGCAACTTCTCACGCCTTATCAGTTTGAGCAACTTTTACGTGAAGTTTCCCAAGTGAGCCCTCGATGTGCATCCCTTCTGTCTTTGGGTCATACCGCTCCTAAATCGGCTGGTATGTAAACACTTTCCTTTCTTTGTAGGTATCAGGTGTCATATGCGCGTATATCTGTGTTTTTGGCTTCGTTATGGTAGTTTTTGTATTGCTAATGTCATTTTCCTGGTTTATGTAGATAGGTTCCCTTCTTGCATTATGTTTGAGGAAGAATTGGACGAGGCATATCGTTTTATAGCCCATGCTGAAAACATCATTTCTACCGTGCTCAGGCAATATCTTAAGTTTTTTGATGGGTTGTTGACCTTAAGGGATCGGTTTTTAGTTGTCGATGTGAATCTACGGGTTGCCAAGGGTATGAATCTTGCGAGTGAAGAGATGTTGGTGAAGTCGAGGAAATGTATGCCGACCTATCTATTCGTCATCGTGACGTTGTGGCCAAGGTTGCCTTGCTAGAAAATCAGAAGTCTCTTGTTCAAGATAAATATGAAACTTGTCTTTAGGAGAATGATGTACTTCATGCTTAGCTTGTCCCTAAATCCTAATGGTGTTGTAGGTGTGGATCGGTTATGCTCTCCTGTTGGTTTTTTAGCAAGCATAAACTTTGTGTATTGCTTATGTGCCTAACCGATTCCTGTCCAGTAATTGGTATTTTTTTTGGACAATAGTGTTTTGTTTGTATGAAGTGTCATTGTGTTGTGTGATTGTTATCGTTAATGGTTGTTGTTAGTGGAAATCTTTAATTTGGTGATGGATTTGGATGAGTACAAACTTTGTGGTTAACTAGTTGGATTATGTACCTCATAAATGTATTTTTGGGTCGGAAGGGTAGAATATGTCGGAGTATTGATATTCGTCGTATTCATGGATGTAGTCTGCAAGCCAAGCTACATGTTTATAAAGAGTAAGTGTATTTTTTTGGCTAAGCAGGTAGCCTATGTCGGAGTAATGATACTCGACATATGCATGGATGTAGTCGGTTGGCCGAGCTACATGTTTTATAAATAATAATTGTATTCTTTGGCTAAGCAGGTAGCCTGTGTCAGAGTAATGATACTCCGCATATGCATGGTTGTAGTTGGCTGGCCGAGCTACATGCTTTATAAAGAATAAGTGTATTCTTCGGCTAAGCGGGTAGCTTGTGTCAGAGTAATGATACTCGACATATGCATGGATGTAGTCGGCTGGCCGAGCTACATGTTTTATAAAGAATAATTGTATTCTTTGGCTAAGTGGGTAGTCTGTGTCAGAGTAATGATACTCGACGTATACATGGATGTAGTCGTCTGGCCAAGATACATGTTTTATAAAGAATAAGTGTTTTCTTTGGCTAAGCGGGTAGCTTGTGTCGGAGTATACTCGACATATGCATGGATGTAGTCGGTTACCCGAGCTACATGTTTTATACTACATGTTTTATAAAGAATAAGTGTATTCTTTGGCTAAGTGGGTAGCATGTGTCAGAGTAATGATACTCAACATATGCATGGATGCAGTCAGTTGGTCGAGCTACATATTTTATAAAGAATAAGTGTATTCTTTGCCTAAGCGGGTAACATGTGTCGGAGTAATGATACTCGACATGGATGTAGTCGGCTGGCCAAGCTACATGTTTTATAAAGAATAAGTGTATTCTTTGGCTAAGCAGGTAGCCTGTGTCGGAGTAATCTCGACATATGCATGGATGTAGTCGGCTGACCGAGCTACATGTTTTATAATGAATAAGTGTATTATTTGGCTAAGTGGATAGCATGTTTAGGAGTAAAGATACTTGACATATGCATGGATGTAGTCGGTTGACCGAGCTACATGTTTTATAAAGAATAATTGTATTCTTTGGCTAATCGGGTAGCCTGTTTCAAAGTGATAATACTTGACATATGCATAGATGTAGTCGGCTAGCCGAGCTACATGTTTTATAAAGAATAAGTGTATTCTTTTGCAAAGTGAGTAGTTTGTGCCAGAGTAATGATACCCGACATATTCATAGATGTAGCCAACCATTCATGGATGTAGTCGGTTGGCCGAGCTACATGTTTTATAAAGAATAATTGTATTCTTTGGCTAAACGGGTAGTCTGTGTCGGAGTAATGATACTCGACATATGCATGGATGTAGTCGGTTGGACGACCTACATGTTTTATAAAGAATAAGTGTATTATTTGGCTAAGCGGGTAGCATGTGTCAGAGTAATGATACTCGACATATGCATGGATGTAGTCGGCTGGCCTAGCTACATGTTTTATAAAGAATAAGTGTATTCTTTGGCTAAGCGGGTAGCTTGTGTCGGAGTAATGATACTCGACATATGCATGGATGTATTTGGTTGGCTGAGCTACATGCTTATAAAGAATAAGTGTATTCTTTGGCTAAGCGGGTAGCCTGTGTTGGAGTAATGATACTCGACATATGCACGGATGTAGTCGGTTGAACGAGCTACATGTTTTATAAAGAATAAGTGTATTCTTTGGCCGAGCGGATAGCTTACGTTTATTGTTTGCATAGATCAACTGGACCTCCTTTGTTTTATGTTACCTTCCTCGTGCTACATATAGGTTCTAATTATAACTATTTCACTCCCTTCGTTCTCGCCTCAGTCGATGCGTTTTTCCTTGCGTATTCAAACGTAGAACTTTCTTAGGTTTTTGACATGTCATGTTCTTGGTACTGTCTTTCCCTCCATTGTTTGCAGGACATACGATCCATCCCTGTTTGCTACGTGTATTATGTATGGACCTTACCATGTTGGTCTCAATTTTCTCTGCAACTCTTGTCTGTTGGCTTCATTATTTCTTAGTACTTTCTCGCCTATCTTGAAACAACGACCATTGACCCGTTGGTTGTAATATCTCTCTGTCTTTTTCTTATAATGTTCGTGTCGTAACCATCTAGGTTTGATCTTAAATTGTCATCATTATTGTCCATGTCTACGTTTGTTGTTCGATTTGTTAGGACGATCAGTTCTAATGGTAGTACTACTTCTGATCCGTAGACTAGGCTATAGGGTGTTTCCTTTGTTGTTGTTTGAATTGTTGTTGGTATGCCCATAACTCACTTTTAATTCATCAGCCCATCGTCTTTTGGCTTCGTCTAGTCTTGTTGCCAAGCCATGCACAAATTGTTCTGTTGGTGACCTCGGTTTGTCTGTTCGCCTATGGGTGTGCCACATAAGTAAATCTTTGGTTAATTCTGAGTTTTTTGCACTATTCTCAGAAAAGTATTATTAGCGAACTCTGTTCCATTATCCTAAACTAGTGTATGGGGTATCCCGAAGCGGTAAATGATTTGTTTCCAAAAGAATTTGACCATGTTTTGGCCTGTTATGGTAGCTAACAGTTCTGCTTCGACCCATTTGATGAAGTAGTATATTGTGACTACTAGAAATTTCACCTTCCCTGGTGCCTCTGGGAATGGTCCTACTATGTCTATTCCCCACTGATAAAAAGGTCAGGGACTACTAATGCTAACCATTGGTGTTGTCGATTTTTTTGGGATTGGTGCATGTTTCTGACATTTTTCACAACTGTAGATTACACCCTCTGTGTCTTGATACATGGTTGGCCAATAGTACCCAATCCTTAATATTTTGTGTACTATTGTTTGTGCTCCTTCATGTGCTTCAGCCACTCCTTCGTGCATCTCTCTTATGAGGTATTTTGCCTCTTTTTCGTTTACACAACGTAAACAAGGTGTTAAATACCCTTTTAATACTCCGTTATCTACTACGGAAGACGGTAGATGTCTTCGTGACACTTTCATGTTATGCCTGTTTATGCTTGTTGTCTTCGTGATTTTTGCTGATATGATTGTATGCTTAGCTGTAGGGGTGAAATAGACCTAGTACCGGTTGAAAGATACCGAAGGGGGTGAAATAGACCTAATACTGATTGAAAGATATGTATGTATGGTATGAGGTATTTTGGGGAAGCTCACTAAGATTTGTGCTTACATTTTTCAGTTTATGTTTTAGGTACTTCCAGCTCGAAAGGGAAGGGTCTGGCCTGATCGCACTGCATCTGCCCATATTTTCCACATTATGTAATTTTTAGGATTTGTACTCTGATATTATTACGCTATGATGCACTTTTGGTTGTTTTGACATGTTTACTATACATTTTGGAATGAATTAAAAATTATTTTTTTATCTGTAAATTTTAGGATGTTACAGAATGTCTCGGTCAAATTAGACGATGTTATGAAGGTGTTTAAACATTCACTTAATGAGTTATCGAACGAGAATCCAGACCGTGTATGTCTGCTATACCTGTTAGAGAAGGGTTTCAATGAGCGGTTGGATAAACAACCTATTAAAGAAGGGGGTGAAATAGACCCAATACCGGTTGAAAGATACCGAAGGGGGTGAAATAGACTCAGTACCGGTTGAAACATATGTATGTATGGTATGGGGTATATTGAGGGAGCTCACTAAGCTTTGTACTTACAGTTTTCGGTTTATGTTTCAGGTACTTCCAGCTCAAAAGGGAAGGGTCTGGCCTGATCGCACTGCATCCGCCCATATTTTCCGCATTATGTGATTTGGGATTTGTACTATGATATTATTACGCTATGATGCACTTTTGGTTGTTTTGACATGTTTACTAGACATTTTGGAATGAATTAAAAATGAAATTTTTATCTATAAATTTTAGGATGTTACAGTATGTCTCGGTCAAATTAGACGATGTTATGAAGGTGTTTAAACATTCACTTAATGATTTATCGAACGAGAATGCAGTCTGTGTATGTCTTCTATACCTGTTAGATAAGGGTTTCAATGAGTGGTTGGCTAAACAGCCTATTACAGAAGAGTATTTCGCTTTGCTATCTAACCTTGATGAATTCAACAGGTATAATGTCGTCTATTTTATAATTACTGATTATAATTATTTATCGTTACTAATATTTTTTAGAAATTTAATTGTTAACTAATTTTTTATGTGACAGATATCCATGAGGGGGGGGGATAATTTGGGATCAATTGTACAAACAACTATTTATTGTATTCAATAAGGTTGACAAGCTTATACATCCAGACGAAGAGAAAGAGAACCAACCTCAAAATTTGACCTACAACCTACAAGGGTTTTTATACACTTTTAGGGTAAGTATACGATGAAAAAATATTATTTATTTTTGTTTGCTAACATTCTAACAAATTTTTATTTATTTGTTTGCTAACATTCATATATGGATTTTTGAGACTTTTCAGGTGAGCAGTTTGCATGGTCAAAACCGAGGCCTTTACAAAAGACTTATTGCAACCAGTTTATACAAATCAACGACCTATGTGTATTTTATTATTTAAATATTTATTTATTTTATAATTTATGTTTATTTATAGCTTTATAATTTTGTTAGCATGATAATAGACTCGTACAGAAGTTAGGGCCGATGGAAGATGAGATGTGTGCTGAATGGTGGATAGTTAGCTCAATGGATTAATCGCCCTGATTTTC